TTCCTGATTTATGAGTTCGTGTATTAATTTGACAGGATAATTATTGTTTTTTAGGATGTTGGTTATTTTCTCTATATTGGCGTCATGAAACTGTGTGTGGCTTATCGTCAGTATTTTGTGGATTAAGTTTTTTGCGGTGTTAATTTTATATTTTCTTGGTTGAGATGAGAAGTAATTTATCAGGCGTCCAGAGGAGGTTGGTTTTGAGTACCAGTCTAGAGGGAGGTTTTGCTTTTCTCGATAAATACAAACATCTAGAAATGGTATTTTTGAGTCTTTTTCAATTTCCATAGTAAATTTCAGTTTATTGTGGTATTTATTAAGAGTATCTAGAATAATATTCGCGTCATTACGTTTGATAATAGCGAAGATGTCGTCCACGTATTTTGTTACAAACTTTATGTCAATGTTGAATTTTTCTTTCAGCTCAGTGATGGTGTTGTCCAGTAGGTTGTCCATGATAATGTCAGCGATTGTTGGTGAAATTGGATTTCCCATGGGCATTCCAAATGTTTGTGCGTATAGTTTGTTGCTGAACATAAAGAAATTGTTATACTTGAGGCAAAAGTCTATTATTTCGTAAAATTTCTTTTTTGGAATAGAAGTTTTCTGTTGAATTAGGTCCCACTTATTCATAATTATTCTCGAAGCTAATGTCGTTGGTATATTTATGAATAGGGAAATGACATCAAACGAAACTAAAACATCTTCATCACACACATGGACGTTGGTTAACTTAACTTTAAGATTAAAAGCATTCTTGTATACATTTTTGTTTTTTCGGTTAATACTTAATGTGTGTGTTTTTTTGTATTTTTGTATATTTGTTGTAACAAATAAAAAAAACACTACCCCTGACGATGCTAAAAAAGTTTTAGCGAAACGTCGGGTGAAAAGTGGAATAAAGTAGTTTTATTCGCACCAGAACTGAAAAGATCAGACTAGCCTACAAACATAAAATAAAATAAATTTGAACTGATCGGACAAAAAAGATAGATTTCAATCTCGGAAGTCCTGCCGATATTTTTGTTTATTCCTGTCACCAATAAAAATACAAGGAACAAAATGAAGGACTTTTGCAAACACATGAGATACAAATACGGGGAGAATACATGTATTAATCTCAAACATTACAGCAAACAAAATCAAAAATTAGCAAATCAGAAAGAAGATTTGAAATTCTTATTAGAATGTAAAAGGTATGGACTTATCCCCAACCACTTGAAGAATTCAATCAAAAACTTAGAAGTAAATACCGACTCTGATAGGATAAAACAACAAATTGAAAAGACAAAACGGAGTTTTCTAATTAAAATCTTAAATATAGAAATAACGCAAACCAACATCAATATCAAAACAACAAAATACCTATTAAATAATGCCCAAAAACAACTAAAATACGCCTTAAATCAGTTGGAAATAAATAATTTTATCAGAAAACAACGTTTCCTCAGTGATGGGATCGCAGAAAAGAAAAGAACGGCTCTCAACTTTAA